TTCCTGCTGTGTGAGCTACTGAAATGAGCAGCACTGTGAAACAGCCAATCAGAGCAGAGCTCAACATTATTATTCATGACCCTTCCAAATAAGGTAAAAACAGACAATTTCATTCTAGGGACAAATCCTAGGGTTGTAAATGGACATGTAAAACCGTTTCTGGAGATTTTTTGCCCTTACCTAAGCCACATGCCTTCTATGTAGATATCAGAGAACAATTTAAAATATTGTATCAATGCATTCTATGGCACCTTTAATGAGTTTTTCTTTATTATGATATTAGGACAGTTCTTGACGCCACATTGATTTTTTTAAATATTTAAATTAATCTACATTAACTTCAGAAACATAAAAATGTTCTCAATGAAAGGTGTATTTAAGCCATTTTATCTATGACTTGAATGTTTTATGGTTTAATGTATACATTTTTTAATAAATTGATTTTGGATGAAAACATAGCATCATGTCAGTGACCCTTAAATTGTAATTTATTAGTTTATAAAATTTTTCCTTCCCATTCCATTGATTTAAACTTCAGCATTCTTCTTGTTTGACGTGAGTTCCTCCTGAATGTTCACGGTTCACTGAAGCAGTTCTCTGGATGATCTTTTGTTCCGTCTGTGTCGTTGTACCCACGTAAGCTGATCCGTGTGACAGGTTAGCCGGGGCTCTCTCCTGCCAGTAAACATACATGCACACACTATCGGTGTAATATGAGCTTCGAATGCTTTGTTTTGAAGCGGCGGCTATAATCTAAGAGGCCTCTGTGTTAGTTAAACCATAATAGAGGAGCAAAGCTAATGCTGTTAATTGCAGGACCTGTCCTGTCACACTCCATCTGACGTGTTTTACCTCTTATCATTTAATTTTGAGTCTATATTGCAATTAGAATGTTAGCAGAGTGAAATGTTCAGCCTGAGACTGTTGAGCTTTCCAAACTTAATATGGGTGACATGATGCTCGGATGGTATTCACTGGGAAATTTAGGTCACGTCACACAATTAGGTCTATCATGCTGATCAGTTGTTGAGTGTCATGTTGTGTGTGTGTGTGTTTGGTTTGGCATGGTGGGGCTGTTGCCTCTTGTATTGCCGTGCGGTGGGGTGATATCCAGAGGGCCAGAGCTTGGCTGTCTAACAAAGAGAACCCTGTTGATGGAAAAACAGCTGAGAGGGGGTAAAGTATGGCATTGTTAATCCCCTCCAAACCTGATGGTAAAAAATAAACGACAACACAGATTGAGATCCCTGGCAGTCTGGCGGTTTAATGACAGAAGCCTGTGATCTTTTCCTCAGGGTTAATTTCCTAATCTTGTTTAAGACAGAGTGGTCTGTTGAAGTTTAAAGTGTCATGAAACCACCCTGTTTCAGAACTGGTCTTTCACACCTTGCATCTGAAAAAGACTCCAGAAATGGGCGTGTAAAACTGTCGAAAGTGGGAGTGTAGAGGGTGGGAAGAGGGGAGAAAACAACCAATAAAACAGACCTACAACACACTCATGATACAGACAAATTAATATTAAAATATCTTTAAAACAGAAAGAATAAAGGCAGTTACTTTCTGTTTACTCTTCTTTGAATTTTCCGGAATCTGTCGTGTCATCGCGCTCATGATCAGACGAGCCACAGCTGCCGCTGTATCAGTGCATGCCCTTATTTGCGCATCTTTTATTTGAAGAAGCCATTATATGTGCACATGCTAGTTCATGTTTGGAGCAAGGGATAATATAAACCATGTATGTTCATTCACATAAACTATAAACACGCTTGCTCCGGTTCGGATATGAACTCCCCACATGTTGTCATATTAAATATTGTTACGGTCATGTTTAGAAATGAACTGACAGCGCGGAAGCTCTTTCATGAGATTTGAATTCTCCGCTGTAAGACTACCTCATGCATAATACAGAGCAGTGATTGGATAATAAGAGTTCATTCTCATGAATAATACTGAAAAAAGCTCAGAAAACTGATGACGCAGACGTGTACTCTCCAGCCACGACAGCCAATCACCACTCCAGATTAACGCATATACGTCACTTTTCGTGACGTAGGCTCAAAATTGCTTTTTGAACCAGAAGAACGATATTGCTTCAAAAAATAACCACTTTTACCTTAATAATAGACATAATGAGTGCTAAAGTTGTTTTTACTGATGTGCAACCTGTTCATATATGTTAACATAAAATGCGTTTTAGGGTTTCATGACACTTTTAAGGGCAAATCTAAGAAAAACTTTTTCTTCCCCTATTTGGAACTTCGTTTGGGAACATATTTGCTGTATTTAGGTCTTATGTTGAATATCTACTAAGGTTGTGCACAAGTAACCAACTAATCAAGTACTCATTCTGCACCAACTAATTGTTTAAGTTACTAGTTAAAACACTATTCAAATCATCTTTGAATAGTGTTTTGGAAATAATTAAATGTACTCTCACTATGTGATGCCATTTGTTTTGAATATTTTCTTTTTATATTATGAATATATTATAGGCTACATATTAAAAAAATTGAGTCTTGATATTTTGTAAATGTTCTTTTTTCTTATGTGAGCTTGTTGAAATTTAATATATGTGAAATATACAAAATATGAATATCACATGCATGTCATACTCATTATTTTTAACTAGTTGTTGGTAACACTTTAGAGTAGGGAACACTTATTCACTATTAACTATGACTTTTCCCTCAATAAATTCCTAATTTGCTGCTTATTAATAGCAAGTTAGTTGTTAAGTTTAGGTATTGGGTAGGGTTAGGAATGTAGAATAAGGGCATGTAGAATAAGGCATTAATATGTGATTAATTTGTACTAATACATGGCTAATATTCTAGTAATATGCATGCTAATAAGCAACTAGTTAAGAGACCCTAAAATAAAGATTTACCGTATTTAATGAGGCAAAAGTCATAGTTAATAGTTAGTTAATAGTGAGAATTGGTCTTTAAAATAAAGTGTGACCATAATGAATATTAATAATAACTTTCTGGTCGACCATTATGCCATACAGCATTATTTATCCAGTTTCTTTCCATCTTTTTGTAAATGGATGTTTTTTCCCTCCATCTGGTGAATTTATTATTTCATTCTTATTAGGGATGCACCGATACCACTTTTTCCAGTACTCGCCCGATACCGATACTTTTATTTTTGGTGCTTGCCGATACCGAGTACCGATACCGATATTTTTCTTGCATTTGTACATTTTTTTTAAATATTGGGTACAGAAACCAAAAGGGTATGTATAATGTTAGTTGGTTAACTTCATTTATCAAATAGATACAGTCAAACCAAAATGTATTCAGACACCTTCAACATTTCTCACATTATCACAGTTTATTTGCTATAGTTTAGAAAATGGTAATAAAATATGACAAGAACTCAGAGTTACACTGAGTCAGAACAAATTCAGCTTGATAATGTTAGATAATTTTGATAGAAAGGTATGTAATAGATTACAATCAACCAAAATAATTCAGGCAACTGTTAGTATGACAGTATTATTTACACAACTATCAATACTTTGTCAGGCAACCCTTAGCCTTAATGACAGCCTGTAGTCTCCTGGGCATGCTGTCATCCAGCTTCATACAAACCTCAACTTCAGTTTTCTCCCAGACTCGGTCTGAATAATTTTT